TCATATATATATATATAATATATAATATATTATATAGGGTTAGGGTTAGGGTTAGGGTTAGTTAGAAATAGCTAAACGAGCCAGGTCAAACAGAGAAAAGCGCTGTCGCTCCGCGGCACTTGTTCTATTTCAGCGTTGTACGCTCTGGGGTTAATGGGCTCTTGATAATATGTACTTCTATATCTGTGATCATTAGGCCATGGGAACTTGGGTATCAGTTTACTGTCGTCAACCGCCTGGCAAATTCTAACAAGTTGGAAGGTACTCCTGTCACTTATAGTTATATTATTGTACAAAAACAAACTATTCAGCATGTTCTGTTGACAGAACTAAAATAAAGGTCGATTTTAGCGATATTACAACATTTCATGTATGTGAATGAAAGACATACGAGAATAATGAAAAATACATAAATAATGAAATTTTTAAGCAGCCTACTGCCGACCATGCAGGCGGTTGACGACAGTAAACTGATACCCAAGTTCCCATGGCCTAATCCAAGGCTCGACACTAACTTTTTTTTTCAGTGGCCGATCGCGGCCACCAAAATCATTGATTTTCAATTTTTGGTGGCCCGAAAATGCAATCGGGTGGCCCGAAAAAAAACACAAAGAAAAACATTATAAATCTTTATTTCAATCTCGTATTGTATATTATTTGAAAATTGGGCCGTCTGATGCACTTGCACAAGTCTTTAAACAAACCCCACACAATGGCACACACTGACATTGATGATTGAGGCATACATTTTGAATTATCCATTCCACAGCATCAAATTTTCACCAGAATCTTGCATACCATTTTTCTACTTTCACTCATTATTTATCTAAACACGCGCGTGCACATGCTAACGATCAGTTCAGACGTTCAAGAAGATCAAAGTCACAGAGCATGCAACTGTAATAAAACAACAACACATTGGCTTTTCATGTTAAAATAAAACATATACATTTAATCTCATGAAAGTTAAAATGTCTGGCAGGCTTTGAAACTGTAAAAATAAAATATTGCAGATGTAATAAGATAAAGTAGAACCATAATTATATCAACAAAGTAGCCTGGGTACGCATGCATTTAAAAAGAAAAAGCAGCCATGTCTAAGACTAAGTTCAATATTTCGTTGCGTAAAGAGACAGAGAAAATGCATAAATAAACTTACAAAGCACTAATATTACACTTCGGATTAAAATACTGATCATCTTCATGGAATAGTTCAGTTATTCTACGCGAACTTTTCGAACGCTGGCAGTTTCGCTTTGGATCCGAAACAGTGAGCACCAGTGCAGCTAGCTAGCAATCAGGGTGACCAGACGTCCCGTATTTTGCCCATGTGTCCGCCGTCCCGTACCGACCCTTCCGGGACGCATGTATTGTAACACAATAATGTGGCTTGTTTGCAGCCGCAGTAGACGATCGATTAAACCGTGCGCCCGTGTATGCCCGCGGTATAGAATGCTGCACGTGCGTACGTGTGCCTCGCTCGCCGAATTGCCTGCTCTCTTTTGAATGAGATTAGCACGTAAGAAACAATTATTTTTATCACATAGACACTTTGAAATTTTAGTGGCCCGATCGCGGCCACCAAATTTTAACATTTTGGAAATTTTGGTGGCCCGACATCAAGTTTTTGGTTGGCCCCGGGCCACCGGGCCACCGCTAGTGTCGAGCCTTGCCTAATCACAGATATAGAAGTACATATTATCAAGAGCCATTAACCCCAGAGCGTACAACGCTGAAATAGAACAAGTGCCGCGGAGCGACAGCGCTCATCTAACGTCTACTGCGGTGACTCTGTGGTGGAGTGGTGGGATTCTAGTAAACCCTGTTAGTTCCAAATGTGTTCACATACACGCCAAACAGTGGAAGGCACAGGGATGGTATCAGGAACCTTCTCAAAAGAATGTTCGTTGGGATCGTTATGAAAGTTGCCACGAGATAGCGCGTACGTTTAAGTGTATTCAGATAAAGATGGAAGCTCCCATCGTACGTAGTAGTAACAACTATTTTGCAAGAGCAGAATAGCAGGGTTCTCCCCAGGATGAAATTCAAACAGGGGGGAGGGGAGGGGAAGGGGGGGGTCCGGGGGCGTGTTTTTTTACCGTACCACTAATTAATGCGTAAAATCGCCACCACACCATAGACGGCATTTGGGGTTCTTGTATATATATAAGATAGCCGAGTCGGTGTACAGTTAGTGTTGGGTTCGGTACAGGTTAACTGTTTGAACTTGTGTATGGTCTGCAGTGCATGCGTGGTACGGTAAAAATACACGCGCCGGTTGTCCTGGTCGAATAGGAATTCTTGACGATCTATTCCCGCGCTGGCAAACTTTTATTGTGGTGGAATTTAATCGGGGCGGAGGTAATTTAAACGCGGGGCGCAACGATTGAAAACAGGGGGAAGTTTTCCCAAACGGGGCGCGCGCCCCGTTTGCGCAACGTAGGGAGAACCCTGAATAGGTAAGCACACATCCATTTACCTACGCAAGCCTACAGGCTGAAATAGAGAGCTGCCACCTGTAACTATTAACGCAGGCAAAAACTACACACCCCATGCGACTGACTGCAAAAACAACAACGCTCAAACACGACGGAGGTGTTGAGTAAAGTGACTCGAGTCTGAGCGACAAACACGCGGGCTTGACACTCAGCTGACAGACCTACTGTACGTTTACAGCAGTCTCCCTAACGACATGCGCGATGCAAGTCGAAAGAACTATGCAGTCTACTATTGTACGCTACGTGCGCCATACAATACGTTTATCCTAGCTATCAACGAACACGATACGATATTCATACTGGAAAAGGTACTTAGCTTGATGTACAGCTGTTGTCCAGGGCCTCCACTCTACGTACACGACGAACCAGTTTACAACACTACATATCCTGTCGACTGCGCCAGATGTAAGGGTTTGATCCTTACGTCGGTCGGTGTCCTGGTCGTCTGGTAGAATGAAGCACACTCAGTTGCTCCCAGGCGGTCCTTATATATGGTGGCAGCCGTGGCCTTGCCTGGCTTGCCGTGGATTCTGGGTCGAAGCCTGTAGATGAGTCCAGTAGAATGGCTTCGACTCGTAGTTGCCGGTAGACACCTTACAATTGTATTGGCTAGTATTGATTATTTTATAAGCAGAAAGTATTCGCCATACATACATCATTACATGTGTAGATTCAGTAACGTAGTAGCTATTTCATAAATGTTTTAAATAGTTATTAAGTTAATTATTGCAGAAAACTCACGGAAATGAAATCAACCGCCTGCATCATAAACATGTGCGCTTTTGTTTTAAAATGGGGCCTCTATGCTCCGTAGAAAAAGGAGGGCGCTGTGATCGCAGTTGTATCAGAATTTTAAAATTCTTTTAGAGATTAGACCATATAGATAGATATCATCAGAGCATATAAATCATAAGTTGATTTATATGCTCTGATATCATATAACAACAACTCATATAATATATAGAAGTTATATATATAAGTTATATATATATATATATCTGTATATATATATATAAGACGGTCATATGTATATATATATATATATATATATATATATATATATATATATATATATATATATATATATATATATAATATATATATATATATAAATATATATATGCTATGAAAAAAATGACTTTAGCAATTATTATGATTTTGAGAAATTTTATCTAAACAATTAAATAATTTTACATATGCCCAAGAGTGAGCATATTGGCCTAGAAAAATTATGATATATTATCATTATTATGATTAGAGATATTATGGCAATTTATGCTACCACAAACAAATTGTGATCCCATACATGGCCTATATAAGAAGAATAAAATTTAAAGTACACAGGATGAAGCAAAGTCAGGTAAGTAAGGTCATAAGATAAGTGTAAGATTAATAATTAGATTGAAGATTGGTCAATCAACTTTTTGATTCCTAGGTGTGGGGCTGCTACGAGACTCCTGATTGGTCGGCTGCTACGAGGCTCCTGATTGGCCAGTTCCTACGAGGCTCATGATTGGCTGGTTGCTAGGATGTTCATGATTGGCTGACAACTACCAGGCTCCTCATTTGCCGGTTGCTAGGAGGATCCTGATTGGCTACAGCTACAAGGCTCCTGATTGGCCGGTTGCTACGAGGCTCCTGATTGGTCGGCTCCTACGAGGCTCCTGATTGGCCGGTTGGTACGAGGCTCCTGATTGGGCATCTGCTACAAGGCTCCTGAGTGGCTGACAGCTACGATGCTTCTGATTGGCCGGTTGCTACAAGGCCCCTAATTGGCCGGTTGATAGGAGGCTCCTGATTGGCTGACAGCTACGACGCTCCTGATTGGCTGACAGCTACGAGGCTCCTGATGATTGGCTGACAGTTACGAGGCTCCTGATTGGTCGGCTGCTGATTGGTCAGCTGCTACGAGGTTCCTGATTGGCTGACAGCAACGAGGCTCCTGGTTGGCTGACAGCTACGAGGCTCCTGATTGGCCGGTTGCTAGGAGGCTCCTGATTGGCCGGTTGCTACAAAGCCCTTAATTGGCCGGATGATAGGAGGCTCCTGATTGGTCAGTTGCTAGGCGGCTGATTGGTCAGCTGTTACAAGGCTCCTGATTGGCTGACAGCTACGAGGCTCCTGATTGGCCGGTTGCTACGATGCCCCTAATTGGCCGGTTGAAAGGAGGCTGCTGATTGGACGGTTGCTAGGCGGCTGATTGGTCAGCTGCTACGAGGCTCCTGATTGGCTGACAACTACGAGGCTCCTGATTGGCTGACAGCTACCAGGCTCCTGATTGGCCAGTTGCTAGGAGGCTCCTGATTGGCCGGATGCTACGAGTCCCCTAATTGGCCGGTTGATAGGAGACTCCTGATTGGTCGGTTACTAGGCAGCTGCTGATTGGTCAGCTGCTACGAGGCTCTTGACTGGCTGACAGCTACGAAGCTACTGATTGGTTGACCGCTATGAGGCTCCTGATTGGCCGGCAGCTACCAGGCTCCTGATTGGCCGGTTGCTAAGAAAATCTTGATTGGCTGACAGTTACAAGGCTCCTGATTGGCTGACAGCTAGGAGGCTTTTGATTGACCAGCTGCTACGAGGCTCCTGATTGGCTGGTTGCTAGGAGGTTCCAGATTGGTCGGTTGCTAGGCAGCTGCTGATTGGTCAGCTGTTACGAGGCTCCTAATTGGCTGACAGTTACGATGCTCCTGATTGGCTGACAGCTACGATGCTCCTGATTGGCCGGTTGCTAGGAGGCTCCTGATTAGCCAGTTGCTACGAGTCCCCTAATTGGCCGGTTGATAGGAGACTCCTGATTGGTCGGTTACTAGGCAGCTGCTGATTGGTCAGCTGCTACGAGGCTCCTGATTGGCTGACAACTACGAAGCTCCTGATTGGCTGACAGCTACAAGGCTCCTGATTGGCCAGTTGCTACGAGTCTCCTAATTGGCTGGTTGATAGGAGAGTCCTGATTGGTTGGTTGCTAGGTGGCTGATTGGTCAGCTGCTACGAGGCTCCTGATTGGCTGACAGCTAGAAGGCTCCTGATTGGCGGACAGCTACCAGGTTCCTGATTGGCCGGTTGCTAGGAAAATCCTGATTGACTGACAGCTACAAGGCTCCTGATTGGCTGACAACCAGAAGGCTCCTGATTGGCCGGTTGCTAGGAGGATGCTGATTGGCTAACAGCTACAAGGCTCGTGATTGGCTGACAGCTAGGAGGCTTCTGATTGGCCAGTTGCTACGAGGCTCCTGATTGGCCGGTTGCTACGAGGCTCTTGATTTGTAGGCTGCTACGAGGCTCCTGATTGGCCGGTTGCTACGAGGCTCTTGATTTGTAGGCTGCTACGAAATTCCTGATTGGCTGACAGCTAGGAGGCTTCTGATTGGCCGGTTGCTACGAGGCTCCTGATTGGTCGGCTGCCACGAGGCTCCTGATTGGCCAGTCGCTAGGAGGCTCACAATTGGCTGACAGCTACCAGGCTGCTGATTGGCCGGTTGCTAGGAGGATCCTGATTGGCTGACAGCTACAAGCCTCCTGATTGGCTGACAGCTAGGAGGCTCCTGATTGGCCGGTTGCTACGAGGCTCCTGATTGGTCGACTGCTACGAGGCTCCTGATTGGCTGGTTGCTAGGAGGCCCCTGATTGGTCGGCTGCTACAAGGCTCCTGATTGGTTGACAGCTACGAGGCTCCTGATTGGCTGGTTGCTAGGAGGCTCCTGATTGGCCGGTTGCTACGAGGCCTCTAATTGGCCGGTTGATAGGAAGCTCCTGATTGGTCGTCTAAGGAAGCCACTCAGCTTCCCGTTTTTACGTGGTTCTCGGTTTAGTAGGTGCGCTAGTGGCACCCGTTTCTCAAGGGTAGTATCAGGTTGCGTCGATAGATTCCACGATAGATAGCACAGATAGATAACACGAACTCAGTATTATAAAGCTACTCTCCGTTGGTTCTATTATACCACAGAATATTCATAACAGTCTAAATGCACACAACTTCACGAAACTACACAGATGCCTACACGGAAGTCTACACACACAGAATACCGTATATCAGTGATGTCGTACCTTAGCGCAGCAGTTCACGGGGTGAAGGTGAATGGTAAGAGATAAATGGAGAAATACAACGGACTACGTGTGAAAGGAACAGAGGCACAATCAGAGTGGGACAACAACTGGACCGTTTCAAAGAAAGAAACCAAGTCAGCTTCTCTCTGCGCGTTTGGCGTCAACAAGTCCGGTCCATAATAGATATATAATGACACCAGTATATCACCCGGCGGATATGGCGCGATTGATATTGGTGTTATATTGGTTGCTTACGCCATGCGGCGAAGCTCATGCAGAATCATGGGCAATTATCAATGTAACCAATAAGTGTGGAGAAGCCAGCACTTTCCTACACTTGCCTCGGGGTTCCAAAACGTTAAGAGCCACAACTTGTAGCGATGAACGGTTGCGACATCACGTACGGAATGCAGTGATGGTGCAACGCTATCGTAGCCGGACGGGTCGTCAAAGTGGTGGTGGATGGTACGATACGGTACAATACGTATTGTCTGTGTCAGCACTACATTTATGTGCTGCGATAGCGGCAAGACGTCCTTATAGAAAGCGCGGCAATACGCAAGACGTACGAGCACGAGACACGTCGAAACACCAATACAGTAATACGGCAATACGGCCATACATCAATACACATAAATACGTCAATACGGCAATACGTTAATACATCATTCCGTTATTCCACGGGCTGGGCGGGGCTGGGACGCCGGTGTGCCAGTCCTTCTCTTCTATTGGCTAGGCGTAGTCGTAGTGGCGTGATCGTCGGCCGCGTAGAGCTGCAGGAGCGACTGTGCCCTCGTGAGCTCTAGGGACATGCGACGTCGTGGCGGGATGCCAGCTGAAGCAGCGTTCGGGGTCGTGGTCGTGCGCCAGGCCGCAGGGCTAGTGGTCGTAGCGGCAGCCAGCGGCCAGGCAGGCGATGGGGGGGCCTGCTGGCTGGGCCGCTAGACGTAGAGGCGTTGAGGTCCTGCAATGTGGCAGCCGCGGTCGTCGGGTGCGGCGGCGGCTGGAGATCCGCAGTGGCACGCGGCGCTGCGTTGGCGGATGCGATCGTTCTAGGTAAATGCTTGCTACGAGGTACACATGTAGAGGGGGGGAACGGGTATTTTCGGGACGCGGGATTGGCCATTTTAATTACCTGGGAACTGGGAAATGTCAGATAAATTTTTCGTGATTCGCGAATAGAAGTCCATCGGGACGTGGGAAACACCTTCTAAAATTGTCTGGGATCTGGGAAAATTGTGTCAATTCGTCGGGATTTCAATTTCTGCGCTAATATTTTTTAAATATATTTTTTTAAATTTTTTAAATTAATTATGCCCAGATAAATAATACTATGTAAATATTAGTATTTATGTAGTGTTTGAAAACCTAAACTACTGAATTTCCTGAAACATGTCTACTTAATTTACTGGGAACTGGGAATTGGGATTTTATTTTACTGGGAACTGGGATATGGGATGTTTTTTGCTGGGAAAGTGGGAATGTACCCCCCCGTTCCCCCCCTCCATGTAGGTTACGGGCGCGATAAGACCGTACGCATGCGTCGTGAAATGACGCCATTAGGCGCGCTATGTGCGAGCTATATATCGCGCACGTGGAGCACAGAGAAACCGAGCCGTAATAAAGTCTCCGGGACTACGAATGTGCAACGTGTTCTATGACTACCGTATGCTCGTACTGACAATATTAGGACACGAGTTGGATGCGGCATATAGTGGGCATTAC